AAGGAGAACTTTAGACCTATTCGTCTAGGATTTTAGTAAAACTTTGCATGGTGATAGTCAAAATGAACCCCGTAAAATATTATAGGCCTATGAGAAGTAGTTAAGTTTTGAAAGTAAGAATTTTAAGATGGCGTGAAATGAGTTTCAGTTTTGGATTTGGTACAACAGAGGTTGATGATCTTTCTTTATTTCTGCAAGATGTATTACCAAGATACCAATTTCAGTGAGAGTCGGTTAATTCTTTCTTACCTGTTTGCAGGTCGTTTGCAAACTCGTTTTCATATGTTTTCTTTGTGGAATTTAATTAAGAAAGCAATGGCGAAGAAATTGTTATATTTTTAGAGTTTGCGGAATTTCTCGTTCTCTATTGCTGCACAACCTACATGCAAATGAATTGCAGTTAATAATAGACCTGCAGCTTCTTCGCAGACGCTCACATATGGGTCAGTGCGTGACAAAATGATAAAGACACTTTTCTTTGCATGGGGAACGCAGAATTCGAAATGAATAGGAGGAACTATTTTTGGCACCGGTTTGGATGAGGAAATTCTTTTTAATTTTCTATTTTTTCGTGAAAATATGAGATTTTATCTATGGTACTCTTAGAAATATTTTTTACGTTTGCAAGAAAACATCTTTGCGTCCTTAATTTTTTATTCTGTTTTCTAAACTTCATAACAATCAAAATCCCTGCGATCAATTTTGCAAGCCAATACAAGTAATTTTGTTTATTTATTTTGTTTTAACATAGCCCACAGTGAATCCGGAAGAACCTAAAAATACCATTGAAATGAGTTCTTAACATAAGTAATTATAAGAGTAATTATTTATTGTGTGCACATTATTAACAACAAATTAAGGGGGCATTCTAGTATATAAATTCAAAAAAATCGATTTTTTTTTATTTCATATTTTCAAAGTTTAACTATCTAAGAATATAAGTACGAGAAGGTTTTTGAAAATTTGAATTATTTTCGAAGATATAGGCATTTTACTGACTCGGTCTCCATACTGGTTTGGCTTCACGCAAAACTTTAAATGCGTTTTTCTCAGAACAGACTTTTTCAGTACTGTTGACACGATTTCTCGAGTTTTAATCGACCGATTCACTTGAAATGTTCAGAGAGTCTTGTTTATAGACCTATCTATAGCCCGAACTAGGATTATCCCCAAATTCCAATCTTTACTATTTTTAAAAAATTCGAGAAACTCAAAAAAAAAAAAAAAAAACAGTCAAAAAACCCTTTTTTTCAAACAGTCGCCAATTTGTAAAAAAAAAAATTTTTATTCATCGCCAGTTTGGGTGATTGCGACATCATTGTAGATTAATAATCTTTTTATTTTTTGCATTTCCGATGCCTAGGAGGGCTGAAATCATGTCAAGGCTGAGTTGCCAATTTTTTGAGACCACCCACTTTATCAAGTTCAATTTTCAACTTTTTTATTTTTTAATTTTTGTTTTTTATTTTAATAATGTTAATAAACAAGTGGTAAAAAATTGATAGTAAAAACACTTATTACTTTCTTTTACGACACTTTAAAAATGACATAAAATTCATCGCTCTACACAAGAATACCCCCTTAAGGGGGTCTAGTGTAGAGGCATGAATTTTAAGTCATATTTGACTAAAATAAAGGCAATCATTTTTTACTATCATTTTTTTCATAATTTATTTATCAACGTTACAAGAGTAGAGAAAAAAATTTAAACAAAATAAGTTAATAATTTTAAAAATTAACGGTGTTTAAAGTGGCGGGTCTCAAAAAGGTAACACGTGACTGCAACCATACTAGTAATTCGAAATAAAAAAAAGATTATTTAGGATTAAATAAAAAAAAACTTAAATCTATTCTATGTACGAAACATTTATTATTATACTTTAAAATCCGTTAGTTAAATACAATGCAAAAGATATTGTGCGTTTAGTATTCTACATATTAGTGTAAAATAAAAATGCATATATGTATACTCTAGATTACTCAAACTCTATGCCATAAAACTGGTATAGTAAATATAAATATGATGTAATTGTGAATTTACATCATTCTTATTCGCTGTATTGTTACTATAAGATTTGCTTCAACGTCTTATAATTATTAAATTATAAAATTAAAATACGATTGCGAATTATACACAATGAGGAATAATTTTAGCTTTTGCTCGAAAAGCCGATTATTTTTCTAAAAATTATATAGTAATTTGTTCTAAATAGTAGACACAGTTATATATGTCGTTAAATGTTCTATGAAGACGTTTCAAATATTTTAATATATACATTTTTAATTCTTACTACTCTTGAATTTTATTAAAATTTTCTTATATTCTTACAAGTTCGTGAACAAAGTTTAATACTACTCAGTCGTTTTTCAACCCTAATTTTATTTCATTACAACTAACTTAAAATTTATATATTTATAAGTGTATATAGGCCAAAAATATTTATAGACACCTAAGCTAATTAATAATAATTTAATTAATTCATTCAATTAAGTTAGTTAGTTAATTAATTTATTATACAAATTTGTTTTGAAAATTTAAGAATAGAGTTAGTTATTTAAGGGGTAACTGTATATGGATTAGTGAATGGAAGTCAATGAAACATAAACAGAATTTCCGTTTCATGAGCTGCTTGAACTTTTCCTATTTATTTTATACAGTATTTAGATGGCAACTCAAAGGTCAACCTATCTATATTTGATAGTTCTTTTCATTATTAGAATTTATCTAATACTACCCATATATTTTCTTTAAAAACAAATTTTGGATTTTGATTATACTGATTCCTAACTGACAAAATAGTATTTAAAATGTGCGTGTCAGTTCCCATATATAAAATCTGTTTATATATTTAAACTAATATTTCCAACACTGCGCAGAACACAATGTATAACAATTTAGTATTAAGTTTATTTTTAAAAATAGCTTTCGCACATTTTAGTAACTATTTTTAGATTATCCACACGCCACTGCCACTTCATATGATATATAGTCAGTCTACATTAAATGTATCTATTTTGAAATTTCCACTTCGAATTTATTGACTTTATTTAATTAAAAAAGGATGAATAAAGTGAATATGTTTTCTCTATATTTAATTTCAATTCTCCAGAGCATGGCTTCTTAAACTATGGGTAAGAAAATTATGGCGTCGCCAGAGATTTTAATGTCTAAAATATATATTATTTTATAACATCACGTCGAGATTTTTGTATGTTTCACAACGAATGTATCTTGTTTCCTAATAAACAAATCATCTAAAATAATAATTTCTCTTTCTCTTATATTTGTGTGGGTTCGTTCAGAAACTCGCAATCATAACAAACAGTTGGTTTAATATGACTGTTATGTGGTAAAACTTGAAAAGTGTATTTTTTTCGTTGAAAGGTTTAACATTTAGCATTTTCATTAAAACGAAATTCAAAAAAATATTTTTTATTTTTTTTTTAAATATTATGCAAATATTTTTATTTGCATTAGGAGTATATATCTTGAAATTAGATTTATTATTATATAAAATTCTACTAGCACAGGAAATACCTAACTACTCTTTACGTAAATTGCATACCAGTACAATGTTGAATTGCTTTTATAATTTCCACAACATAACGCCTTTGGATGAAAGCCCAGTTTTCATATCGAAAATATTGTTGGTTTATTCTCTTAAATCATATTAATCTTTGTAATCATTCATTTTGGCATATGTATAATTTACGCTTATTTAATAAAATGGTATTTGTACGACGATTTTTTCAATCGTCCTGATGCTGATCTGAATTCATTTATCCTCCTGGTATTGGTTTTATTAGATCTAAAAATTAGCCTCCTTTTGCGCATGTTGATCTGGTTTCATTCATCCTGGTTTTGATTTTATTAGATTAAAAGATTAATAGATTTTTTTAAAATTATACCAATTTATTTAAAATACTTAAATTGCTAGTACAATTATGAATATTAACTCGATGTCTTTTCTCTCGTTTTTTTATCAGACTTAAAAGTAATATATTAATCATAGTCTTAAAATATCTATTTTATAAATGAAACCAAAAGATAATACATTAGTGTGCATATAAATATTTATAAGTTTCGTTTTATTTTATTATAAATAAATTTCTTCTGGCTAAACACTGATAAAATATTTATTTGAGGTTGAAATATGATGCCATATAGTAGTCTAGACCGACTACTGCAATCCGTATATTATATTATAGTTATATATAGTACTTAAAATTTAAAAATAAACTCTAAAACCAACCTAACATAAACCAGCCTAACCCTAAATATAATAAAATATCGACTTAATGATATTATCCATTATTTGTCTTATTATTAATCCATTACCTTATGAGTAAATATTATTAAAAAAATACCATATTTGTCGAAATAAAAAGTTACTTTAATATGAATGAGTATTAAAATTCAAGATTATAATTATATAGAGATGAGGAGGAAATATTTTTGCAAATTGCTGCTGAATTATACAAAGAAAAACCTATTAAATCATTTAATTGAATAAACTCAATAGTCATAAATGATAAAAAGGGCCATAGTACGACAGAAATTATGAGATTTTAATTGAGATAAGTAATAATTGTGATAGTAAAAAAAGATTTTTTAAAGTAAAAAAAGTAATAGATCGGAGATTTTCTTGACTTTTTACAAAAAAAAATCATCGTCTTGATCAGAGGTAAAAATTACCTTGGAATACATATGCCGCGCACCCAATACAGACAACTTAATGATTACAAAAATAAAATAGGAATAATAATACAGATAATATTGTTAAGTCTGATAAGCTAAATATACTTTAACATTAATACTATTTTATAATTAATATCTTAAAATAATATTAATGATCTAACCCTAATATAAAATGTTTAAATTGAATGACGAAAGTCTGATACAATAAAATAGAAAACACGCTTTTTTATTTGTTAACTTATAATTATTTATAGGAATATTTTTTTTGTCATTTAATCATTTTTTCCTCTTTCCATTTCAGCACATCATGGCAGACCGAGGCATTCGATCGCCCTCGGCGGCCGCACAACAAGAGGCCGCCTTGGCTTCGGCGATTTTCGACCATTTTTGTGCGGCACCTACCCTCAAACTCGCCCTGGGCTATCATCGAAATCTATGCGAAACCCTGCATCTGAAACCAACCCGTCTTCCAGATTATTATCCTAAATTAAAGGTAATAGTAATAATATTTAAATATTTCACTTGCAAAGCCGATTAATAAACATTAAAGTTGTAATAGAATTTAAAATTTCTTAGATAAAATTTTTAACTGTTTATTTCAAAAATAAAGTTGTCAATTATAATTAAATCTAATCATTGCGATTTCGAATAGAATTTTCTCAAACACATTTAAAAATGATCTGTAATTATACTAATTATTTTGCACAGACAGGTGCTTGTGTGCCCTAAAACTGCAGCTTGTTATTCTACATTTTTATTTTTTATTACACTTTTAGGAAGAAAACTGATTATAAATTTACTTTATGTTTTTGTTTTTGAAGCAATGTCCAATTTCACACATGAGAAATAGTCAAAATTACAAAATTTAGTCCGTTGCATTATAACTATTCAGAATTATTTAGTGAATATTATAAACAACAAGTACATATACTAGAACTTAACCAGGTTGATAGTATCTGAACTAATACTAATAGATCTATCTCTAATAAGTTTGAACCAAATCCAATCAAAGTAAATCTTCTGGATGTATTAGATAAAACTTAAAATAATCCCAGGTACATGGTACCGAACTCTTCCAGAACACATTAGGGATAAAAAATGAAATAAACTTCTAATTCAGCATATTTTGTTATGTCCCTAGTACTAACCAGCAGATCTTACAAGTAATGATCAAGAACTTTCTAAATTTCGGAATAAATGCCTATAATAGTCCGTTTCCATCTGCCTTTCAATAATTCTTTTTGCCAAGTTCGAATGCTAATTCTATCTATTGACAATAAACTTCTAATTTACAAGGTAGTAATAAAACCAGTATGGACTTATGGCATACAATTGTGGGGCTGTGCGAGCAAATCCAACATAGTGCTAATGCAACGTGCCCAGTCGAAAATATTAAGATGATGATCCATGGTTCATAAGCAATAAGACCATACACGACGATCTTCATATTGAATTATAAACAGAGTTATAAAAATCAACATTTGTATAAACTAGAACATAATTCAAACTCTATAGTCACTCAGCTTCTTGAGGCACCAATTTTAAGAAGACTGAAGAAGAAGCTGCCCAAAGAAATATTGAGGATCCTTAGAACTACCACAACTTTATATGAACAGAATAGTAGAATAACTTATTGAATTGATTATCTAACTATAAATATAATATTTATCACATTAATTTATATGTGTGTTTGAAAGTGTGTGTGTATGTGTGTGAGTGAATGACATAAGTCAAATTGCTCATAGAATTGTCCTGTATTCTGATCGCTATTGAAAAAAAAATCGAATGTCAGAAGGCTACTCAACAATATAGTTCGAGTAATTCAATTTATACATCCTTGTTATATTTACAAGAGTTAAATTTCTATTATAGGCAAAACTCTCTAAATCTTGGAAAGCTCAAGCTCTGTTTAAAAAATTTGATGCTCGTGCTGCACACAAATGCTACCAGAGAGGTGAAGCGACACCTCACACCAGGGTGCTGATTATTGGTGCAGGACCTTGCGGTCTTAGAGCGGCGATCGAAGCTCAACTTTTGGGTGCCAAAGTGGTAAGTAAATTTTCTAATCAATGATAACTAATAATAGAAACAATTCGTTGTAATTCCAAACGAATTACTTCTATAAGGCACATCTTATAGAAGTAATTCGTAAAAGAAGAGCATACTCTTCTCTCGTTGTCACGTGAACGAATCATCTAAGGAATGCATTGCTACAGTTTCGGTTGAACAATGGTAAAATATCATAATTAAATAGTACAAATCCTAATATCAGTTCATAAATTGTAATGATGGAGGAGCTTCTATATTTGACCTGCATAATAAAAATCAAAATAATGTTATTTTATGTGTAAACCTTACTAGATCCTTGATAATCAGAATTAAATCGTACTTGCTCCTAATTCCATTACTCCATCTTCCACTAATAATAACTGTGATAAATAACAACTCCATCATAACCATATAATCTAACAAATTATAATTTAATTCCCTGATTGTATCATGTGTCTATTTATATATGATAATTCTACTTCCTCAGGTCGTGGTCGAAAAGCGAGATCGAATGTCCAGGAACAATGTGCTTCATTTGTGGCCTTTTGTGATTCATGATCTACGAGCTCTCGGTGCAAAGAAATTCTTTGGAAAATTTTGTGCTGGTGCTATTGACCACATCAGTATTAGGCAGCTGCAAATTATTCTCCTCAAAGTAGCTTTGTTGCTGGGAGTGGAAATTCATGAAGGTGTAGCATTTGAGCATCTTGTGGAACCCTCTGATGGTAAGGGAAATAGAGTCATATGTCATTTCTCATCCTTGGTATATTAAATTGTGAGTTGATTTATATTAAACACGTTTTTTCAAGGGATGGGTTGGCGTTGCCGAACTACACCAGCTGAGCATCCAGTTTCGCAATATGAATTTGACGTGTTACTGGGTGCAGATGGTAAACGAAATACATTAGAAGGATTTAAAAGAAAAGAATTTCGTGGAAAATTAGCCATAGCCATCACTGCGAATTTTATTAACAAACGCTCTGAAGCTGAAGCAAAGGTAGGAAATGAACCCTTTTCTTTTTTAATAATTTTGGTTAGTTTTTATCAGTAAGCTTACTGTAATGATAACTGTAGGACAAGGAAACATGTTTTATCAAACAAATAGGAATTGAATGTATAGTGATATATAATAATAACAAGAAGGCAGGTTCTTGGTTTGAGAGTACCACAAATCAATGATTCTCTTGTCCTCTCTTGATTATTATTCCCATTACAATTTTCTCACCATTTATCACTTTTTTTTATTCATTTTCTTTCCTAAATCTTCTGCATCCATGCTTCATGGTTCTGTGCTTCGTCTTTCAGTTTCCCTGCATTTTCTCTTCTATACTGAAATATGATAAATGAAAATTTCTATGGTATTGATTCTAAAGGAGCTTCATAGATTTACAGATTTATTCCATTTTCATTGAGGTTTATAGATGCTAAAACAAATATAATCTTTCTAGAATGAAAAATCAATCAATGCAATTTGTTTACATTAGTCTGAATACTTCTCAAAAATAAATATCTCTGGTTAATAATAATTAATTACAATAATTCAACTCAATATTATGTGCAGTTTTTCTGGTACTACAGTCTTGGTCTATATCTTATTACTTTTGATTCGATGGTTTCAGAAAGATAGTCCATTATCCAACAAGACTAAAATCGAAAATTATTATACTATGAGTGCATATTATGCTGAATTGAATGTAATATATATTTATTGTCCAAACATTGAAAACGATTACGCTATTGCTCGATTGAATTAGACTTTGCTCGGATATTTTGTGCACGGATATATTCTTAAGCTTCGTGCCTGTTACGGTTTTCATATAAAATGAAACATATTATCTAGTTAAATTGCACATGTGGCGTAAATGGAAAGCAAATGTCATCTAACTTAAATGAAAATCGAATATTATATTCTTTCGTTTCTTGACGACTCCGTTAAGACTGCCAATTTCTTGACGATCTCACAGATATAAAAAAAAAATAATATTTTTAAATAATTTATTTAATAATTTAATTAATTACCCATAGCTTAAGAAGACCTGATCTACATCGTTTATTTATTCGTATGCAATTTCTTCATTTGTAGGTAGAGGAAATAAGTGGAGTTGCATTTATATTCAACCAAAAATTCTTCAAAGATTTATATGCGGAGACGGGAATTGATTTAGAGAATATAGTATACTACAAGGATGATACTCATTACTTCGTGATGACGGCGAAGAAGCATAGTCTTTTGGACAAAGGCGTTATTATTCAGGTATAATAATAATATATTTCTAATTTTATTTATTATTGTAATTAGTAATTCAAGTAATATTATTTATTATTACAGGATTATGCAGATACGGCAAGACTTCTGGCGCTGGAAAATGTGGATCGTGATGCTCTCATGATGTACGCAAGAGAAGCAGCAGAATTTTCCACCGAGTATCAAATGCCTGGAATGGAATTTGCCGTCAATCATTATGGTAATAAAGCCCAAATATGTTTTTTTATTATCTTGATTTCAATTTGTACTATGAGTATATTTTTTATATTTTTTTTAGGGAAACCTGACGTAGCTATGTTTGATTTTACTTCTATGTACGCGGCCGAGAATGCGAGCAGAGTTCTGCATAGAAATGGCCATCGGTTGCTGATGTGCCTGGTCGGAGACAGTTTACTTGAGGTAGATGTTATTTTTATATTCTAATTCTATACGTTTTTTAAATGAATAAAATTAGGGTGCAATATTGGAATAGTAATGCAATTATTTGGTACATGTACCACATAAACTTTTTTTTTAATTTTTGCCTTTCTATCCTTTTGTTTGGACTAATTTCTGAAACGGTTGGATAGATGTTGATGGGACTTTTATTGGCAGGTAGTTGATGCAGTTAGGCGAAACAAGGCTATTTTTCTTTTAGAAACCTCATTTCATCTAACAACTTTATTTTTGGTTCCTGCATTTTATGTTATTTTATCTTAATTAAATAATTTTATATCTTATTTCTTATATCTTAATATCGTATTTTATTTTCAATCTACTCTTTTACATTTTTACTGTTTTTTTAAACCTTTGAGTAATATTTATAAAATATTATAAATTGTACATTTGTTACTCAGATTATATATTAACTCCCTGTAAGGTGGTTATAGTAATGGGCCAAAAATCGAAAATGAAAATGTTTGCATATCTTCACGTTTTGAAGGTTTCTGAACATTTTGGCATACCTCAGAAAATTGGATGTATGTGTATCTGTGTATGTGTGTGTGTCTGTGTGTTGCTGTGTGTTGCTGTGTGTGTGTCGAGACAATTTTTCGTCGACGATTTAGGTTGTACGGATTAACCGATTTTAATGGTTCAAAAAACATTCGATTCCTATCGATGAGGAGACGTGCTGATTAGTTTTTGACGAAAACTGGTCCAGCGGCTTCGGATATATGGAGCAAAAAGTGCCAAAAATGTCCGTTTTTAAAAGAACGGATCAACTGATTTGAAGGATCCAAAAAAAAATTGATTCGTAATGATGGGGAAAAGTGGTTATTAGATTTTGGCAAAGCTAAATGCGCAAATAATAGCAGTTTTTGAGATAACTAAGCATCCGATTTGAATGTTTCCAAAAAATAATTCGGATTTTAATTCTAATTCTAGGTAAAGTTCTAAACATCACTTATATACTTCAAATAAATAATTTAAACTTTGCAATTCAGTTTACATAATACTTAGAAATATTAGACTATGTTCTTCATTTTAAATCCGATTGATTAAGTTTTGTTTATTTTTTTTTTATAAAATAAGAATAATGGAAGTTACATTATTTATAATAATCTATTTGAAAACATTTTATATTCATCGAATATTTCATTAAGGTACGGAGTTTTCAGCAATTTGCCTTAAGGCACGATGCCATACACCTCTAGTTACTGATTTTTTTAAACCTTTAAGTAATAATTATGAATTTTTATATATTAAGTACATTTCTATTCAAGATTCAGATTTACATTAAATTTCATAAACCAATTATGTATAGGCTATTTTATTTAGTTAGTAACGTTGATAGTTGTTTTTTTTTCTTGAAATAAGTATTTATATGGTGGCTTTTGATTTTTTTTAACGTATACCGAAGTTTATGATTAAAATAAAATGGCTCTCAAAATAAAAATGCAAACATTTTAAATTTTGCAAAATATATAAATAATATTAGGCATTGAAAAAATAATTAAAAAAATTAATTTTATATGTTTCCTATGTTTATCGCATATATTTTAATATAATATTGTACAGTTTTATAATCGTTTTTAAATTCTGAAATGTCTAAAATGTGTCTGTTTCTATTGCAGCCGTTTTGGCCAACTGGTTCAGGTTGTGCTCGCGGCTTCTTATCAGCTTTGGACGCCTGTTGGGCAATAAAACGATGGGGAGCAGGCCAAAATCCATTAGACGTAGTTGCTGAGAGAGAAAGTGTATATAGGCTTTTAGGTATTTTCCGATTTTTTGTTACGATTCATGTTAATATAAAATAACACTGACAATATTTATTTTAGGTCACTCAACTCCTGAAAATTTGCAGCGGGACTGCTCTAGTTATACGTTAGATCCTAGTACCAGATACCAAAACTTAAATAAATCTTCGGTTTTATCACACCAGGTAAATGCATAAAACTTGTATTCGATAATTCCTTGACTAAAAAAAGAGTGCGCGTAAGGTTCACACGCGATTGAAGTGAAACTTATTTGCTACTGTACATGATGGCATTAAAGTAAAGATAAATACATTATATAACAATTTTGAATAATGTTTATTAGTAATATGGTAACACTCGTGATGCACACAATTATTAGTGTCAACCATTATACACATTTATATAATAATAAATTATAAATTATATATTTATAATAGCATTAAAAATATGTTTAATATTAAAAAACAATAATGTAATTAAAGTCAAACTTCGAATATGACATAATCGGTTTGCCATTGTAATTAGCATTTAGAAATGAACCTTCATTAGAGAAATGAAGTAATTGCAGATTCATATTTTCTATAATAATCGTTCACACAGTGGATTATGCTAAACAACGCCTAAACAAATGTTGTTTTCTCAATTTTACTCGTCATGTGATTATGTTTGATGAACTTCATGTAATTAAAATTAACATACATTCATTGACTGCTTGTATTTTTTTTACTTTTTCACTCGCGACATGATCTCATTCTTCGAACAGCTGTAATATCTGTCTCTCCTAAAAATTATTTGCCATTTTAATAACTTCAAAGATTTATAGAAACTACGAATAATATAGAAATAATTTATAATATATATACTTACATTTAGTACACGGCACAAATGTTTAATTTGTTAAATTATTTTCAAGAAACAGGGTAAAATATTCTTCCGATTCAGGCATTTTTCATTAAATCAAGATTTGTACTACGATGTAACTTTAAAATGGTTATTTATCTTGCCGATTTCCTTAATATAGGTACGCATACAACGTTGATGCTGGTACGCATACAACGACAGATCTTTATTCACATACACGACGACTAATCACAATCGACCCTTATAGAAATAATTTCATCGAGAGCGAATGACGTACAGTTCGGGCGTAACGCAATTTCCGTTGCATTTGTGCGGATTTACTTCTTTGTCGCGCCTAAAGAAGTTTTACTTCAATAATGCACATATTAAATTTGTTTTGCAGGTGAAATCTCTTGTTACCACGGATGATCCGTCAATTTTAGAAGTAAAATCCTCACCTATTGTACCAGATATATCTGACATGCCCAGAAAACGAAGGAGAAGAGGTAATAAAATAATATATTCCATGTGTTGCATCTACGTATTATTTTTTATACTGTCTTTTTGTGTACTTGTGCAAAATGTACCTGGTCATGAATATATTCGACGCAATTTTATGGCACATAAGGTTTTTCAAATGCAAATAAACTTAAGCCCGAATCACACGAGGCTTGTTTTCTGACGCTGGATTTCCCGCTTGATTTTTTTGCCGATGACGGCGCTGTAAATCATGATATTTTTCTAGCCGTACGCATCACACGAGGCTTTTTGAACTAGATTTTAAGCGGTGGTTAATAGGTGCCGTGCGACATAACCTCGAAATTCAACAATACTTTTAGTTCAATACAATTTTTCGTATAAACAATACTTTTAGTTTAGTTACAATTAACAACAATACTTTTAGTTTACTTTTTCTATTTAACACGGGTCATAGAAAATAACATTAATTTTAATAAGAACAATTCAATAAAATTAATATAGAAAAGAGATAATTAATATAATAATTTAAAAAAAAATTGGAAAGTTATATAATTTATTTAAATTTTCATAAATCTGAATTAAAATTATGTATTGAAACATTATTAGTAAAAATAAATAAAATCAATACAAATAATAAATAATATTGTAAAAATTTAATTATTGTTTTAGTAAACTTTATAAATATATATTTTAATTTTAAATATTAATTAATTTTAAATATTTTTTTGTGAATTTTAGAAATATAATATTCAATAATATTTCTCCAATAAATGAAATAATTAAAATAAATTAAAATCAAAATGCTTCTATATATAAAAAAATATAAAAAAATATTTATACTTAAATAAAATAGAAAATGTTTTTGGATATCATTTATCATTTACGTTTATATTATTTTAAATTATCTAAATTATCTAAATTAAATAATATTTTAAAAACTATATGTTTTTGTCCGAGGCCGATCAATTGACATTGATTTCATAACTATTTCCAAAATATGTCGTACTCTTTCTTCAAGTTTGACAGCAGTGCCGTCACATGATGAACCATGTGACAAAATACTGCTTCCCGATTGGTCGGGACGGGCAAATCCATCTCGAAAAATAGCACACGTTCTAATGTCAAAATCCAGCATGCTGGCAAGAAAGCGAGATCGCTATGACGTCATTTTGGACTCTCGACCGCCAGCTACCTGGCAAGCAGAGCCATAAAGCAACAAAACAAGCCTCGTGTGATTCGGGCTTTAAGATGTTTCAAAATCTTTACATTCTATACCGACCTTGAGGTTTTCTTACCTTCCTAGATATTTAAAATTATTATATTTCAGATAACAAAGTATTACCTGAGACCCTTCTTCACTGGATTAACTTCCAAATAGCCCCTTACGACTTGCAGGTAAAATTTGTATTCCGCTGGTCTTTAATTTTGTTGATACATAAATTAACTGGAATATGTTATTTTTTGCAGATAGACAATATATTACAATTATTAGACAATGGTTTAGTTTTATGTGCAGTTTTACATCGATATCGTCCTGATCTAATCAATTATACAGAACGGTTGGCAAAAACTTGCACGGAAAATAATCGACATGCTATCAAAATAATGGAGCAAGAATTAGGTAGGAAAAGAGGAAAAGTCTTATTAGTTAATATTTTGATTGAAATCTGATATTATTTGCAAGTTATGCAATAACTTATAAATAAAATTCAATCTGATGTGTTTAATATTTAGTAAACTATTTTGGTTAATACAAAATTATACGATTTTTTTTATTAAGACATGTTCATTATTTTGGCTAAATTTTACAATTTTCTTACAATTTGTTCTGAAATGTTTATTTAGTAAGATACTTTGGTTAATACGAATTTATATGAAATTTTTCTAATACGGAAACAATAATTATCTCAGTTAGATTTGACATTTATTTGATAATTTAAACACCATATTAGTGTATTTTTAGAATAATTACTATTTCTATTCTTACTGGTACATCGCATGTACCTGAAATATGAGATACAAACTATATTTTTAACAAACATATCTTATATGTTTAGACCAGGGTTTCTCAAACTGTTGTCCTTTGCAACCCCGTTTATGTTTGCGAGTTTCTTGGCGACCCCACACAAAAAAATAATATTTTTTTAAAATGATTTATTTATTTGGTAACAATATGCATATACATAATCATATATGAAAATATATAGTTTATGAATTCGTTGAGAACATACAAAAATCAAGACGTGATGTTATAAAATGATATAAATACTTAACATCAAAATCTCTCGCGACCCATAGTTCAAGAAGCCCTGGTTTAGACATTATTATCGAATTTAAAAAAACATAGTTTTAAATAAATATGTAAGCAGCTTATACTAATTATTTTTTAGGTATACCAAGTACCCTTTACGCAAAAGGCGATAATCCCGATGAAGCGGATTTAGTGAATTACATCACACAAATTTACTACACGTTTAGAGGAGAAATACCACACATAAAACATCCCAAACTGGTATGGATAATATATAAATACTATTAACTATATATAATTAATATTAACTATTATTTTTTATTAAAAATTTATTTTTATAATTAGAAAAATAACTCTAGACCTTATACTACATGCTAATCGAGTGCAAAATAAGTGCTCAAGCATAGAAGGGACTGTGACTTTGTGGATGGCTATCTTTAAATATTTGATAAAAACTAGTGGGGTGCATGGCATCGTCCCTTAAGACAAATTGCTGGAACTTCCCGCACCGTAAATAAAAATCTTGGCACGGAACCCTAAAAAAAAATTACACGAAATGTGTACACATTATGAAAATCTCTATAAAATATTTGATAATTTGATGTGCATATGTCTAATGATCATTTTTGACCGCCAAAAGGCATTATTTTAACTTATTTTTATTGAGAGTCCATAAACGCTAGACCTGCCTTCCCGCTATTCTTTATCTTGTCAACACAAGTAAAATGTTATTTGAAATACCGTTTTTGGCACTTTTTGCCCTATATCTTTGGAACGGCTAGCCTTTGCCAAAAACTAATCTGCACGTCCCCTTATAAATACGAATCGAATGTTTTTTGAATAATTCAAATTGGTTGATTTGTGTAAATTAATTTTTGTATCCGCACACTCACACATACATTCATTTTTTCTAATGTATGCCAAAATGTTCAGAAACCTCTGAAACGTAAAGTTATATAAAAAATTTCATTTTCGATTTTTTTGCGATTTCTATAACTTGTCCTACGGGAAGTTGATAAAAGAGCAAAAACTTTGTTTAAAAATCCATGGATCCATCTTTGAATATTAGATAAAAATAAAACGGCAAAAACTTTGTGTGTCTTACAAAATTATCAGCCATCACAATTGCCATTATATTGTTAAAATAAAACACATTCAATCGAGAGAGAGTTTGCGATTGTCTGCAATGTTCGCTCAGCAATGACGTCACAGTTTCTTCTATGTTTGAGCACTATATATAACGGAAACATATAACTCATATTCTAACATTCTAAACTTTTTTCTAAAACCTAAATGTGATAATTTAAGTTTAATTGCCTATTATCAACTAATCATATATTGTGAAATAAATATATTCATGTTATGTATGTGTGAATGCAAAGAATAATCGAAACCACTTTTATATTCCCAGCCCCCCTCCGACTTGATCCCAGCTCCAGTTTCCTTTCCTAAGAACTCAAATGCTCATGCTTCGGCTTTTAAACGATCATCTTTGCATCAAGAGAACATAGATGACTTGGAACATGTTCCATCACGAAAATCATCGTTAAGAAAACGTGTTACTTTCAAGTCTACTACCTTCACGCAAACCAAAAAACGATTAGATTCTTGTAAGGAAGTTCCAGAGAATATAGAAACTATTCGCCAACCAATTCCTCGAAAACGTATACCAAAGGATGATGCTTGCAAGACTTCTACTAAACATGCTATTCCCGAACAAATATCGCATACTACCAGTGAACAATCTTCAGTTTCACAAAAGATCGATTATCAAAATGCTTCCGTGCAGGCAGAATCTCCAAATGTCCCAAATTCCGAAAAAAGTTCACAAGGAATCACCACTCCGCACTTAACATTTTCCAACACCGCTTCAAAAATTTCGGCTCTGCACGGTATTAAAGTAGGGTCGTCTTTAAATTACGTCGATACTAATAATTTTGAACATGGTAATACCAGACAAATTTCAAATGTTGATACACCAGAGTCTTATAATATGTTTTTATCACAATCTGTTGCGGTTGGTGCTTGTGTTTCCAAGAAGGTTTCTGATAAATGTGTTACACAAAACCCTGGACAAAGCATTGATCAGAAGAAATATTTGAAAATTGATGATAATGATAATCTTTTATTTAATTCTTCGAATACAAATTTTGAGGGACAAAGAAACACTGACGAAGAAATTTTGGTTAAAAAAGTAGATTCTCAATCCAACATACCAGTAGAAGGACATAACGATTCTAGTTCTCAAAAAAGTGTACTTTTATCTCCTGTGCGTCGTAATTCAAAAGTATCATTACGCGAAATTGCATCTTCCAGTAATATTCATAGATGTTTATATAGTTCTCCCCGATATACTCCATTACCATCGGTTAGTTCGAAACCTTCTATGTATAACATCAATATCAATGTGCAGAAGCGTATAAACTTCTTCAATCGTTTCAATACCAACATGTGTTCCCGAAAGTCCAGGGAAAAAATAGTAAGCAGGATGGTTAAAAAGAATGTAGCTAAACCGACCGAGATAATTACTGGGAAAAAGTTTCAATCAGCCCCTAAGAGGAGAGAGGTTTCTTCCGACAGTGAAGACAATGAAATATCTATTCCAAAACCATTTTTTCAAATGCGTCAACATACTGCATCTATTGAAACAGAAGATGATAATGTTTCCTTCAGAACAGCATTGGATGAGATTTCTAGATCGCCAAAAGTGAAAATCCTAGAAGGCGTAAATGTCAGTTTTATTTATTTTTTCCAAATCATTGCAATGACGATCGTTTTATTTTTCGTTTTATCTAATCACAAGTAAAATATTTCCAAATTTATAAAGAATTGAACTGTACTCTCTGTTTGTACCTGTATTATTGACATTATGATTATTTCCGAATGCTCCTCAAATGTAACGTTATATAATTTATAAATATGTAGAATTTTTTTTTAATATATTTTTATAAATTTCTTAGGAAATGCCTGAGAAAAGGGCTGACGTCAATCCAACAGCAGCATTCTCTAGAATTGCAAAATTTGGAGCTGAAAAAAAGGTAGACAATGGAACGCCAGCATTATCTTCTCAAACTCATAAGCGCCGATCAAGAGCATCCAATGAAGGTAATATCTGATGATTATTCATGGGTCATCTTATTTTTAATAAGTTGGAAACTCGTTTTATTTAGAAATGTATCATATGAGTATAAATAGTTATCAAGCATAATAAAAAAAAGCCATAATTTTTTAATTTCCCATAGAGTAAGTTATAGTAATCCCAAAAAAATCAAAAATGAAAATTTTTATATATCTTTTCGTTTCAAAGATTTCTGATTATTTTGGCATACCTAAGAAAAAATGGATGTATTGTATATGTGTGTGCAGATACAAATTTTCGTCGACGATTTCGGGAACACCGATCAACCGATTTGAATAACTCGATTCGATTATATTGATTTGTATTGATAAGGAATCGTGCTAATTAGTTCTTGGCGAAGGCAGGTCTAGCCGTTTAAGAGAATAAAGCGTCCGATTTTAATAATTAAAACATTCTACTTGTGTTGGCAAGATGAAGAACTGATTCAATTTTTAGGAAGGCAGGTCCAGCGGTTATGGACTCTCAATAAAAATAAGTTTAAAATATATCATTTGGTCAAAAATGTTTATTGGACATACGCACATCAAATTATCAGATATTTTATATAGATTTTAATAATGTGTACACATTTTGGGTATTTTTTTTTTGGGTTTTTATACCAAGATTTTTATTTACGGTACGGGAAGTTCCAGCAATTTGCCTTAAGGCACGATGCCATGCACCCCACTAGTTTCATTAAGTTTCGTAACAATAAATTGCTTTTTGTGTGCTAAAATACTAAAATGGTTTTTGTAATAGATTTATTTTTATTTTATAAAACTTTTTTATTTATATATTTCATCTTAGCCTCGGGTAGTTTTTTTCTAATTTATTCGATAGTTATTTCACTTATTTCTAAATTGCTAAAGCTAAAAACTTAACTTAGAGAACTTAGTGTTCCTCGACTGGTTCTACGATTGACTCATTTTCTTTGTTTTTAAAACAAAATTTTAATTCAAAACATGAAATTTAAATTCGATTACAAAATTCAATTTTAATTAATTAATTCACATTGCTAATTAAATGACTTACTTTACAATAGGAACCTCAATTGGAGATAAAGCCAGGATAGATGTTTTAAAACGGCCCAGGAAAAGGCGTAGTGATCGTTTTGGTGGTTTTTCAGTGGTAAGTGTTGCATGCTTTTTTTATTTGATGCACTATTTAGTACAGAGTCATATGATTTATTACAACAATTTATTTTTATTTTAATGCTAAAAAAGATTGTTTTGCACGGTTGATTTTGTATCAGTTAAAATTTTGTGTAAGAAGAGAAGTAGAAAGTTGCAAAACATGGAATGAAATTATGGTGAAATATTAAAATGGTGAAAATAAGTCAAGAAGTAATTATACTTGATAAGTAATTAACTTGATTTTCCAGAATTTGCCAAATCACAAAATACTTTTCTACAAACTTATTTTATAATACTTAAATTTGAATTTGTGACTAACATACGGTACTTTTTTTATCAATTTTTAGAACAATTTGATAAATTTTTAAAAATGACAATATAATATGATCATATACAAATATTTTAAAGACCTTTTACGTTAAAAAAGGTGTTAATATTTGATGTGTATCCTTTATTGTTTCAGGGTTTGCGATTTGTCTTTCATTTGATTTTTTTCTGTATATTTTATTGCATGATTGCGTTGTTCTATTACAAATTTATTAAACCACGTGCTGAAGAATTATCATACGTTCAAATGGCTTGCAAATATTTCTATGGTACAATTGGAGCTGCGTTCGATTTTCTTTTAAGTTGATTACATTTATAGAAATTAGACTAATTCGAAATCTAAGTGCATGTATTTTTATTTTATTCATTAAATAATTTAGATATATTTTTAATTTTTTTATTAATGTATATGTATCTTGTAGAATTTTTATAAATCTGTATTTTGCCATAATTTTGTAAATATATGTATTTAACATCTGCATGATTTCTTTTTGATGTTTTTATGTAGAGTTTATGTTGGGTCACTTGGAGGCTATCACATTGGATAAATGGTTTTGTAGAAGTAGATAGTAATTAATATGTTTCTTACTAACCTAATTATTTATTTAAAAAAATATGGTATTTGAAATTATATTAAGCTGCTTGTGACGACAATTTTGAATGAATTTGACTTTCAAAATTCAGTAATCAAGATGCAAGGATCTTTGAAGATCAAGTTTGTAGAGTTTTATATTATTTAATGATTGTATTAATTATTAACTGCTTATTCATTATGATTAACTTATTTCTTTAAAATTTCTTAAATGTTTATTATATATTAAATAAAGTAATTAATAATGAGGATGTAATATGAAGAAATTATTGCATACATATTTTGCATTCTAATCAGCAACAATTTAATTTTATAATTGTCTCATTGTTTTCATCCCTATTGAAATGCATTGTGATTCTAATTAGAACTAAAATTGAGTGATTGATTACAAATTATAATTATAATAGAATTATATTATATTATATAAAGTGATCAAATTCCAATCACTCATTGAAAGAATTAATCGGACACAAATTGTTTAAATGAATATATGTATACAAAATGGAACGTCGTAAACAAATTCATAAAATACTATTGTATTTGAATTTAGATGTTATATATTTGTTTGTATAAATTAACTAACATTAGGAGGAAAGACAGCAACGTCTTCTAGAAATTGCTGCAAATCGAGAAGAACGTATGAGCAAACGCAGGGCAAACCGAAAACTGCAAACTCAGAATTTCATAAAAAGCATCCAGATGTTGGCTGCCAATGATAAAAGTAATTCGGATACACCTTTCGAAGACTACTCAATTTATCTTTACAGACAGACAGCTCCTGAATTTGAAGATAGAGTCAAAGAGTTGGAAAGAAAATTATTGTATCCCGTATGTTATTATTTGACTGAAGAGTTCTTTGTTTTGATATAATGTCTGGTGTTTCTAAAATTTGAGAGTCAGCATGGAGGCAGATGATGACCGTGAAATAATTCCTACTAATGATACTATGATTGCTTTAATTAATTTGTTATATTTTAATAGTGTTGTGAGCGTGGGAAACCTACTAAAATATCTAATGATTATTTATTTTGTGTTTTATTTTGCAGATTAAAAAATTAACGAATAAAGCTTAGTTCTTAAGCAGTTAAATAAAAAAAAATCAAGAATTTGGGAATAGTGTTTTATTTAAGTTACATTTTATTTGAGGAAAAAAATTAAATTATATTAGAAAATCAAATGATTAAAATTATACTAGATAATTTTTCAACTTAGTTCACAGATTCTTGGATTTTCAAAGAACTTCATTTGTTTTTAATGTCTGACATTGATTAAAAAAAATTGTTTTGATTATTATATTTACAACTTAGTTATAGTTATTAAGACAGAAACAGAAAGATTGTATCATAACAAAAATTGTTACAACAAAATTATATTAATTAAATATTAGTTATAGCATAGATATATTTAATTTAATTTGATTTTAATGCTATTTTTGTTTAACATTTTGCATGCTTATGAATAACAATACTTTTGCATGTATTTTAAGGATATGGTAGTAGTTTAAATTTTAATTTTCATTCTATTTGTATACTACTTTTGGCAGTTATATACAAATATTTTATAAAGGTTTAGTCCTTCTGTTTTTTGTCTCGATTAGATAGAATTGGCTATTACTGAAATATTGCTTGAGAATTACTGATAACATAATTTTCATATTATGGTAGAAATATTTTTATGAAATTATAAATCAGGAAGTATTAATTTGGCTAGTAATATACAAATATTTCATGAAGGTTTAGTTCATATATTTTTATAAATATTAAATCAGGAATTACTAATTTTGCCAGTAATATACACATATTTCATAAAGGTTTAGTTCTTATATTATATTAAAATTATAAATCAGGAATTACTAATTTTGCCAGTAATATACAAATATTTCTTGGTTTAGTTTTTGTATTTTTTACTTGATGAGATTCATTAATTTGCTGGAATGTTATTGATGATATAATTTTCATGAAATGGTGCATGGTTATGGTCCACTTTGGTGAAATTATAAATCAGATAGCACTTCTTATTGACTTCTAAAACTAAATTGGCCAATATGGTTATTTGGTTACAAGTAATTTAAACAAAGCCTTGCATTAATTTAATGCTTTGGTTTTACACTTTAAGTTTTATTTTATTTCAAAGTTTATATTCATATTTCGAAGTCGTTACTTAAATTTATTTCCTACTAGGACCGCGAACGAGGTATAGGACTCCCCGCAGGATCTCGTGGACCGTTGGACGAAGATTTTTCTAACAGAATTAAAAATTATGAACAGCAATTGAAATTCATCAGCTCTAATGAGAAAAAGCCCAAAGATTTGTTGAGAGCCATAGGAAAGATTGAAAGTTCTGATTGGAACATAAAAGAAATTGAAAAGAAAATAGAAGAAAGCAAAAAGGCTCCTGTGTCTTCGGTTAATCGTGAGAAAGTGCCAAAATGGAGCAGGGAACAGGTAAGAATAATCAGAAAATTAATACAGATATTTATTACTTAAAGTACATCTATCCTAAAATTGACTTTCTTGTCATCTATCTATTATTACTGAGATTTTGACAAATTTCAATGTATCTGCATACAAGGTTTTTATGTCTGGTAATAACAATTTGTTAGGATGGAACTTTAATCTTGATGGGCTGTGTTACTTCTAAATACTGTAGCTGACAGAAAACTTCTGATCTGGTCTGGCTAATGCTTTGATCAATCAAATTTTTCAGTCTGCAATTCACTCAAGTTAGACATTGCATGATTTTGCAGCAATTATCTATTTAACATTAATCTATCATTTATATTTTATTTCTACAGTTTTTAGCGCGACAGAACAAGATGGCATCTAAGGGCATGGGACTGGAAAGGCAGGACTCAAGTGGTGGAAAATTCAAGGAAATCGATTACAAATTGAAGGAAATCGACCGTCAATTGAAAGAACCAGCACTTGTAGCCTTGACGAAACATGACGTTCGAAAAGTTGCAAACTTAGCTGGTAATTTTACCAAAGATAAGACTGAAGACAGCCAAAGCCGCACAGTGGACAAACCAGCACCAGCGGTAAGTGATTATTTAAATTGGCTAATGGTGGAATTTCACTCAACAATATATTTTTTTTGTCAATGTTATATTTGAAATATTTACTCCTCTATTCCAACAATTCGAGCAAGATTATTTACATGTCCCAACATTTAGCATCTCTATCCCAGTGACTTGGGTTCTTGTCCAGTAGGTAGATAAATCTGATATCAATTGACATTTTCATAGAAATATTATTGTGTGTGAAATTTCCAAATAATTCTATAATTGTTTGTATCACCATATTCATCACATCATCTCACTTTCATCATTTCATTTTCGATAAGGTAAAGACAGTGAAGAAGGTGTGGAAGCCAGTTGTAGTATAGTTCGCAAAGAAGTTACCACAATTACATGCACTGAATACAAGATATGAAAAAAAAGTGATCATTGTGATCACATTAAGTAAATACTTAATTATATTTACAGTATTGACAAAAAGTTAAATAACTTGCTTTATGATAATTAGATATTTTATTTTTATCGTAAAAATCTCAAAAACAAAGCAGGAACAAGTTTATGTTTTGTTAAAACTTACATTTTTTATAATTACTTCAACTAAATAGATTTTAATATTACTGTTACAGTTTAAGAATTAGTGATTATACAGTACATTCTACATAACTAAGTTAGTTTTTGTAGTTGTGGTAAAATATTTATAGTTGTTTATTATTGTTGAAGAATTATTGTTACCTAGAAATGAATATTCGTTTGATAATTAAAGACTAAATATAGGAAAACCTTTTTAGAAAACGTATTTAGTCAGGTCATCAATTGAATTATTAATACCTGAAGATTAGGTTATAATTTGATATAATTACGAATATTTTTTTTTTGCATTATTTCTACTAACATAGTTAATTTATTAGGTTAGAATTACATATGAATATATATTTTGTTAACAATAGGTGTTAACAAAGATTACAGAATTTGCTCATTTATGTATTGTTAAATCACATTAATTAAATATTTAATGAAACCAAGTTTAGTATGTTTTTACTCAATTATACATAGCATAGTATATTTAGTATTTTAAAAAAATAGATCAGTAAATAAGATAATTGAGTATTCCATATATATTAATCCATAAATCATAATTCACTGATTCATAATTCTTTATTAATTACAATTAGGAGTAATATTTATCATAATTTTATTCAACTACAGTTAAATGTCGAAGCTCCACTTTTCTCTTGCCCCCACGGGAATCGCATTTAGGCATTACTTTATGGGGGGAGGATCTAGAATGCTATAATAATTCATAAATCATAATTCACTGATTCATAATTCTTCATTAATCACAATTTATCATAATTCTATTCAACTACAGTTAAATGTCGAAGCTCCACTTTTCTCTTGTCCCCACGGGAACTGCCGTTAGGCTTTACTTCATGGGGGGAGGATCTAGAATGCTATGTTTTACAGTCTTAATTATGCTTTTCTTCTAATCTGAAAATGTTGAAGCTCATAAGTACGTGTTAACATGTTTGATGCTTGTACATTCTTCTTTTATTAATTAGAATTGGAATTAAGACATTTTAGAATCAAAAACTCCAATACCCTTAATGTCCATTTTTCAATTTGATAATTTATAGCTCTTGATATTATGCTTTTATTAGCACACATTATTTGCTGCAATACTAAAAATCATATGTATCATAATATTTCATATTATTAGAAGATTCTTGAGAAGCATATTAAATATTTTGCTCCAAACACACACAAATCAATTGACCATGATTTATCCCTTTTCACATTCATCACGTTCTAGTTTTTTCTTCCATAACAGAACACAAAAATCACATCAGTGTTGGCCAGTCAGAAGAATTCCGATTTATGCCATTTCTGCGGAAAACGAGTCTACTTAATGGAGAGGCAGTGTGCTGAAGGTTTAACCTTCCACAGGGCCTGCCTGAGATGCACCCACTGCGGCACCCATTTGAGATTGGGCGCCTGTTCGTTTGATAGAGATGGAAAAGTATATTGCGTCCAACACGTTGGCATGCCCGGTAAACAGATTGTTAAGAAACCAAAGGTAAGTAAATGATAATCTAAAATATAATGTCTCAAATTAACCTTAACCTCTTCTATTAATTACTTTTAGGACGCTCAGCCAGTCAGAAAAGACCCTCACACTCCAGAAAAAGTTCAAGGCTTCATTCCAGGATTGGATCTTATAGATAGAGGTATAATAATAATAAATTGTAGTCTGCCTGAAGGCAGGCTAATAGTGTGAGAGCCACCACAAACAAATGATTCCCTTACTCTTCATCCTAGTACCACTATTCTCCTTCCCCATTTTTATTTATTTCATGTATTTTCCTTTCCAAACTTCTTACTTAGATAGAGCTATAGTTTGTAATATATTTATCTCACATGTTTTATTATATTTTTTTTGCTATTGATATTTATCATAAATACTTCAGGACAAACACCAGAACGTATCGAATATGAAATAGATAGGCCACATGTAGAAACCGAAGATGATCACTCACTTAGTCCAATGGACGAAGATGAATGGACCGATCGAAACTTTGGAGCATCAACTGTTGAAAATTTATCCAGTGACGAAAACGAAAGGTGAAAATCAATTTATAAGAAAAAATAACTGAATTCCTTCATTAAAAGAGAGTATTAGATATAATTTGATACTCATTAGTTGCAAAGATGGTGCACATTTACATCTTTGGTATTTGTTTATTTGGATCTCTCTATGAAAATGAGATACTTTAAATACTATAAATGAACATGTGCAGATATATTGTACTAAATATATTCTATATTGCAGCGATTCCGACATATCATCAGACTCTTCCGAATCTGATGATGATTACTCAGAAGCTCTCGACAACTTGGACCCTCTGCAGCTTTCCAATCGCAAGTACAGGAATAATGACGATGCTTTGTATGAAGAAAGTCCAAGTGATGAATTTTACCACGAATATAGTGATGAAGGTCAGACGTTAAAAATATTTCTTAATATTTATTATAGTATGAAATATCAATATTCTTCTGCTGCTAATTTAATATCACTAAATTACTTGGATTTCTATATCTATCTATCATTAACTTGCTAGAATCTTCTTACTAGAATCTATTTTTATAGTTAATTTAATTTAATATGATAGCATACTGATATATGCAGTTGATTTTATGGGAGAAAATAGTTATTTTTACTAATGTTGATTTTATTGCTTTTACTAAGAGCAATGTTATTTGGCTTGGCATTATTAATATGTAAATAATTAATCTTATAATTATCTTTTTTAATAGATTCTGACGACAACGACACTCAAACAGATGGAGAAGAAGATGCCAAAGCTCGTGAGTTACGAAGAATGGAAATACCACTTAATCAACAGCCACCGAAGAATGTTTATTCAAATACAGAGGTATTTTCTTTTATCATTACTGAAATATTATTAATAGTTTCGACATTTGGATTGTCATAAGCTTTATTTTGGAACCACTAAGTAAATAATTTAAACTATAATCTTACTGGAAGTGGTTTATCAAATAATTGATCATTTTTGTATGCCTAAATGCATATGTGTAAGGCTAATAGTCACCAGAAAAATGAACTATATTTTAGAGCTAATTCTGATTTACCAAATGAAAGAATTAATAGTGTGAAATAGACGTCATATATTATTATGCATTTAGTATTCTAAACTTGCTTGAGAATATTTTAACAATAAATAACTTTGGAATTGGTTTGAAAACGATTCAACTATGGTTATTCTAGTAATATTAAGGTCATCAATAAAAATTTACTCACATTTATCAACGATATGAGGTCAAATAAAATAATTTACTAATATTTTATTTCAACAAGTTTGTTTCAACTCATTATTTTTGTTCATTTCTCAAGGTACAATCAACGAATATGCAATCGCTTCTGGGTGATGAAACAGACGTAGTAAATAATAAAAGTGATGAAAATTTTACAAACCCCGTAGCTCAAATCAATGTCATACCTGACATATTAATAAATAATAAAAACGTGTCTAAAAGCAGCATACGTGATATGAATAACGCATCGCGAGAACTAAATTTTGATGATTTAATTAATTCTGATGAAAAAATATTCAATAACGATGATGTTAAGACGGAGGAAAATCCACCTTCTGTTAACGTTAATGTTAATTCAAATATTAATTCCCAATTTGATTTATCTGATGTTAAATTGCGTAAAAAACCGGAACCTGTGGTTTCTGATATAGAATTGTTCGATGAAAACGATTTGGCTAAACAGCGCATTTCAGATACGTATGATGAACTTTTTGAAAAAATAATTGAAGATGAAAATATTGATTTGGATACTCCAGATCCTCTTAAAGTTATCGAAACACAAAACTTTAAGGATACAGTTGACGTGATAAAATCATATCTTACTGTTCCTAAGGTATCAACAGTTACTACTAACAAAAATCTGTCTAAATATTTTCCGCAAAATGCTCCTGCAAAGCAAGAGAAAAAACCCTTAAAGTCTAATAAAAGTATAAAGGAAGTAGATTTATCAAAATATTTTGGAGTTAAGAAACCTATCCCGATAAAAAATAAACAAAATTCAAAAGAAGATTTCAAATCTTCAACTCCACCATTAGTTACTTCCGAGAAAGATATGAATGGTTTCGACGAAGGTGCTTTCCTTTCCCATGAGGATAAAAGTGATGATAAATCTTCTACGACAATAATCAAAAGCGCGATTTTACCAGATATTTCTAAAGTAGAAACTGTAATTATACCCCCGAAAAAAGATTTTGATAAATCTGATGATGTAGCTTTAGGCATAGACCAAATAAATCTAAACTCAACTGAATCCACAAATATGTCACCTGTCGCGCCAAGAAAACCTTTACGGAAAAAATCATCGATTGATAATCCTAAATACTTAAGTACACCTGAAATAAATAACTCTGTACCTCCCGATGATTTTATACCCGTTAAGCCAAATCGTTTAAAAAGGTCTTTGCAAAGTGTAAAAAACAAATTGAAAAATGACGCACCTCAGGTGCCCCCTCAGAGGCCACAACGTGCTAAATCTTTATTGCAATTGCCTCAAGACGATAAATGTAAATCGGGAGCAAAACATAAAACGTTAGATAATAAAAAATCTGTTGCTTTGAATGATAATAAAAATAGTGACTGCGTTATTCAATAATTTATATAAAAATAAAATACAATAGGATAGGGTTTTAATTATCAGTTAAGCGAGTTTTATTTGAAATGCGGTTTACACATGTTTTTATTAATCAAAATTTAAAAATTGTTGTCTGTTCATAACTTTGTTTGTTATTATAAATTCTTAGTTGGGAATCAGTTTAAAGATTTTATATGATGTTGTTCACATTTCTAGTAATATTAATACACCACCCTACGGGTTAGTTACTTAAACTTTAATATTTTTATACATAAATTTCTAATAGATAAGAGATAATTCATAAAAGATTTTATCATAAAGTTTTGAGTGTTTGTTTTATACTTATTAACGAGTGAAACCCCAAAGTTATTATATATAAAAGTTAAAAAAATATCTGTTAAATAATATATGACTATTATAAATTCAACGAGAAAACAATTCTTAAATATGCTGCGTTGCAAATCCACATAAATCGGATACATGATTCTAAAGGTAACTAGTGCCGGCCATGATTTGCAGTGTGATTTTTTAAATAACCAAAATTTGATCAGTTTTTCGCTGCAAAAAAAACAACTTATTAAATAATGTATTCATTAACAAAATTATTTTGCTACAAATGGCCATGTATGTGTGCTTGTTTTGTGTGGATTTGTATTGTCGCAACTAATTGAAATAATAAAAATATTAAATAAGTGCTCAAGGATTTATATCTAACAAACTTAAAGTGCATGATATATAAAATATCTATATATAATATCAAAATAAACTATATTAATATCACATCATCCATATCATCCATCTGTATTAAATTTTTGGGAGGCGATTGCCATTGATAAAATATTGGCTGGTTAAATTATAGATTAAGCTTTCTAGTATTATGCAGAATACTTGTGCTATGTTTTTTTTTAAAGCATGCATCATCACGACCATATCATATTCGTCCTTTTTTATCTTAATTTATCTATTTTATCCAGGCATCCACGGAAGATACTTCATCATCATCCAGCAGCAACGACGATATCCAAAATTCAGCCACTGAAATATCTACAGACAGTGAATTCGAACATGATGGTCTGACCAATGTCCGTGAAGTGCCATCGATATTGATTGATGATACCCATGTAACAAAAACTAGAGGCTCTTCATTCTATCAACCCACAAAAATGCATGTTAAGACAACTGAAATGCGACGCATGAATGGCAAACGTGAGAATTTATTGTTGGCAAAATCGAAGAAGGAATCAGAAGATGGTATTGAATTAGATATAAGGCCTATAGTGGAGTTTGATAAAGAAATCATAAGCAAAATCAGTTCAAGTAAAGAAAATTCACGAGCGACTCCATTAGTTAATCCAAGACCTGGTGATTATTTACTTAAACACACTCAGAGTACGAGTGGTATTGCATCGAAAACATCTTTAGAACTTAAAAAACGTTATCTTCTTGGTGGTGAAAGCGTGGGAAGTGGTATTATGAAGTCTGGTTCGGCATCTGCTTTGGATTCTAAATTTAAATCCTTCCACAGCAATATATCCGAATACCAAAAACTACTTAATCCTGCTTCAGATTTGAATTCTCAAAAACTCGTAAACGCCGTACAACAATCACAAACTGTTGGATTTTTTAAGACCACCCCACCCACTTCAAGTTTGGAACATCAAAATTCTGATAAAACTAATATTAAATTGGATATAATAGACTTAAAAAGTGTACCAAAAATAAATAAGCCTGATATTATAGATCTTAATATGAGTAAAGGCCCAGAGTTGAAGGATTATAAAGATCCAGGAAACCAGAAACAAAATGGAGAACCAGGGCATTTAAATTTAGATCAATCGCCAACTAGCAACAGTAGAGACATTACACCCACGAATGAAAATCCAAATTTTGATATTAACAAACAGTACTATAACTCAGACAATGACTGCAGGTGCAGGAGTCCAGCACACGAAACTTCTATTGTTGTTCCAGAAATAACGTGGAATAACAAGAAAGATGAAGAAAAAGCAGGTACAGATCTGGAAACTGACTCCTTGTCTAGCACATCTGATGATAGTTCCACAGAACATTTAGAAAATCAGTATAATCAACTTGTTAGCAGAAGTCCTTCTCCAGAGATGATAAGCATAGCAAATAAATTTGTTCCACAGATTGAAGTTACTGGTACAGGCGGTGAGCTGATGCAAATGGATAGTCTTATGATAATAGATGGCAAATATGTTGGCGACCCGGATGATGTTACTAATTTACATGAACATGAAACTGTTGAAGAAAAGAAATCAGTTGAAATTAAACCAATTCAACCTTCAACCCAAATAACATCACAATATACATCTTCTGCTCCAGCAGCCTATAATTATAAGGGATTTAACATCACAGAAAGTAATAACCAAAATACATCAATAAATTACACCAAAGATCCAATAAGAAATTCTGACTATCACAGTGATTCAGATTCTGCTAATGAAATCACTGCTGCTTTGACTGAAACTGAACTATCAGATTGGGCAGTCGACGATGCGGTGTCGGAGAATATAGTCGATGTAGAATATAGCATAAATCCTGAATTTTTAAATTCTTTAAAACACAAGAAACCTAAAACTTTAAGGAATGCCGGAAAGTGGAGGAAAGACTCTACAGCTTTGATTGCCAAAGTAGAAGACTTCGATGACTTAGGCATTACTCACGTTTGCGGAAAAGATAGAGACAAAATTGCGCACCAGGATGCTGTTGTGCCTACAAGTATTCTTCAAAATCCAGATATTGATAATATAGAATTTATGGATTCTGGATCTGAAGATAGTTGTATTGAAAAAGTACCATCGTCTGCCAACTCTGGTATATTGCAAAACAGAGGTTATGTCCAGTTTGTTGACAATGACTTATCAAAAATATCAGATTTATCGCAAAACAATACCCAAACAGCAACTAATGGAGTTATTCAGTCATTCAACCGTGATATAATTGATAATTCGCGGAAGGATATTGATTATATTGAACAAGGAGCTTGTGTTTTGGATAATGATATTAAGAAAATTCATGAAAATAATAGTAAACGAATAAATATTGAATCGAGTAAGAAGGAATTACCAAATCTTGTTTCTATTGTGCAAAAACCCATAATAGAAAACAAGATAGATGAAAAACTAGAAAAATCATTGAATGACTCTGAGCATGAAAAAGAACAGGAAAGAGATTTTGATCACGATGATGATAGTTTGGTTTTAGCTGAATCTGCAGCTGATACTACAACTAGTGATTTACTTACCGTAGTAAGCACACCCATGGAAACTCCTACAAATCCAGAAAAAACTTGGACTAATGATGTTATTGTAAAAGATAAATCTGATAATTCAATTGATTTTTCATTAAATAAGCAAATACAAATGAATTCTAACAATAACAATGAAAGGAAAAATGCTACTAATGAACAATTTGCTCCAACTTGGAAGACTGAAGAAAATTCTAAAGCTTATGATGATTATATTAAATCTTTAAAGGAAAGAGTTGCTGGTTTTGGAAATGTGCGTGATTCTATCGATATTAGGAAATCTAGACGAAAATCTAAGTCGAATATCAATATGACAGATAACTTAAACGAGGCAGAGGAAGTTCCAAACAGTTCATCCAAAGTTTCAGCCCTTTTGAATAACAAAAATTTGAGTCTTTCTCAAAATAAAACTTTTGTTTCTATTGATAATAATTTCAACTCTCCAGCAACTTCTAGGAAATTAGAAGAAATTACAAAAGAAAGGGTTAAACAAAAAGATATAATCCATGATTTAGTTATGGATAAACTGCAGAATAAGAAAATGCTTAATGCAGAAAAACGCTTAAATAGAAGCAGAACAAGATCATCATTTAGCCCTGGAAGTGGCTTGGCAAAACCTGAACCAGTTGTCAATTCGGCATTTAAAAAGTCTTTGGAAAATATTGAAGCTAAATATAAAATAGATAAAGAGAACACATGTGATAAACCCATAACAAATAATCAAAAACCGCCTTTATATAGTTTACAAAAATCACCAACAGATTCATCAATAATGAGGCCTTCAAACACTGGATCAACCTTGTACCAGCTTAGTAGTTTAAATTCTCCAATGAAACATCTTTGCGGATTACAACACGCTTATCCGTCAACTATAGAACCTGATTCACTGGTTCTAAATGAAAAAGCAACCAGCACGCCTTTAACTTCCTTCAAGAAGTTGTCCCAATATAAATCACTCAGGCCAATATCTATGCATAGTTCTTTTAAATTAAAATCAACTCCTAGCAAAGATGTATTAAGCTCGTCATTACCAGATACGCCTATGACGAATCCAGAAGCTTTTTCGATGCCAGACATAACAAAGAAATTGTCTGAAGATTCATTCCGTACACCAGTTGCACCTCCCAGATTGAAACGAGAAGATGAGACTAGGAGAACAGCGGAAAGGCTGCGACAAGAGGCAAAGCTAAGAGCTCATATGAAGAGTAATGAGGATTTAGGATTAAGTCCTGAAGATAAATATCAAATGTTGAAGCAGAAAATAAATAAAAAGCAAGCAGAGAGTAGCGAGCACGCTGACAGTAGTTCAGGAAAAACGGAATACGTAATTACGACGTACAAGCCTTTAAATGATCACCAAAATTTTGCTGAGAATTTGAGGCCCAGAACAAAATCATTCCATGACATGAATAGACCTAGTTCGACTTCCACAGTGTATAGTAATTATTCTCAAGATTCAGCTAAAGATAAGTCCATAGAATCTTCCACGAAAAGTAGTGGTTTTTGCACATCTGACCCTAACATGTCATGTGATTCACCAAAAAGTGACTCTGGTAGGAAGGTTAAGACGAAAGATAGGGAAAGAAGGAAGAGCATTATTCAGGCTGTGTCAGATTTCTTCCATAAACGAATATCGCATTCAAATCCTACATCACCTATTAAAGATGGCAAGGCGCAGGGTATATACTCATCACAAAAATCTAAGGATAAATCTAAGGTAAAAATTATAATAATATTAGATGGGTAAGCCATTAAGGATATATTGCGATACGTTCAAAATAACAATTAAATTAAATTGCAGAACATGCACAATTACTTGTTTTGTGTTAGAATTTTGTCATTTGCAATTTTAGTTTTGTAATTAAAATATTCATCTATTTTGAGACATAAGAATATATTAACATTTTAACACAACTTTGATATATAAAGAAGTATGATGATTGTTGAATTTAGATTTTTAACTAAACTGATAGGTACTTTTTCATAACTTATTGTTAGTACCTCACCTAGATTTTCTAATAATATGCACTATATAATATTTCCATGACTATTATTATCATGATGCACAAATTTAATATATTAGAATGATAATTCACTTTATTCAAATTTCTTTCAGTCCTGCTTTGATATGGATCACCTAAACAGTTTTGTAAGCATTTTAATAAGCAGGTTTTTTGTTTTGTTGTATTCGGTGGTTATTTTTTGGGTTTATAGCACGTGTTTATTTGTTATTTCTGGGTTTTCAAAATTGTATGTTTCTTGTATCCAAGTATTATATAATAGGATTATTATGTTGACTAAATAAATTTTAGATATCATATATAATTAAAAATTGACTATTCAGGTCAAAATATAAAATAATCTATAATTATTTACTAATGAGTAAAAGCTTGGTCAACATAATAAATAATTTAAATGTTATGTATATATTGGGTGCTTTACTTATTATTTATGTTAGGTATTTAAATCGCTTAGTTTGTCATCTGATTTTGATTAATTATTTTGTTACAAACATACATAAAATTATTACAGTATATTTATAAACAATTATCATTTATGTATTATTTAAATATTTGTTTTTTCCTGCAACACAAGAATAATTATTTAAATCAAATGACAATAAATTCAGTCCAGTAATTGTGAATTCGTCATTCACATTATGAGGCTGCATTAAAATTTTTAACGTTTGAAAATTACAAATTATTATAAAGTATCAGTACTTAATTTTATATTTTGCATGAAATTCTAACATTTTTATATGGTTTATAATAACCATATTTTCTGTACTCGTATTTATTCACAAACAAAATATTTCCAATACGTTGCAAATATTTTGTTTGTCTTGTATATCTATAAATCAGTATATTAAGCATTTTTTATCTTATATTAAAGCACTGTAATATATCTACTTCATAATTTATTTTATCATTGTTAAGCGTCCCAACATTTTTGTATTTCTGTAAATCTGTATATTTATTTTGTATTTTTCGTTGCAGTAAAAATGTTTTTGTTTCAACTCAAGTTCGACTATGTAGATATTTGGTGTTTTATATTTCAATTTTTCTTCGATGTATATTTGCTGCATGATGGGTGATGTCGAGTTTTATTAAGAGCTTTAGAAAACGTGAAAAACATTCTGGAAAACACTTTTAGGAAAATTACAATACGGAAAATGTCTTGCCATATCGCTGTCAGTCCGAGAAGAACCTCATTGCGTCCAGGACCGTCCAGGATGAACAACCGCCGCCTATACCACCACCGCCGTTGAACTATGCGCCACCGGATTTTTTACATCACGTATCAGGTAATAATAAATTATAGTGATTTCAAGTTAACGAATATTATAAAAATAAAAATCTAATAATATAAAATTATAAAAGAAATATACATAAAACAATGATATATACGTAAAACTAGACTTTAAGAGATAGTGTAGATATTATGTAATTTAGTATATGGCTAATGTACTAGCTTATAAAGCCAATAAATCATATATAAAAAAAAAGTTAACGAAACGAATTTTCTCCATGTTCACTTATACACCAACGATTTAATAAAAATCTAAACAAATACTATTAATGATTATTAATAACAGATGGTAGTCAATCTGAAGATCTGGATGGAAGAGGGATTTCTTTAGAAACTTTAGACTACACAAATAGTTCTTACAATTTGGATGGAACGAATCCTTCATCTACTGAGCCAAAACGAAGGCGCAGTCAAAGAGCCATCAGGAAAGCCGAGTTGAAAAGGTAATCATACTTTTATTTAATACTTTACATACATTTCTTAAGTAATAATTGTTGTGTTTTTACTAATAGTTTTGTGTTTTATACTTTACTCATTAATATTTCATATGAATAAACTATAAATCAGGTCAGCTTCAATAAATGAGATAGAACTGTGAGTGTTATTTTATATTATTGTTTTTCATCAGTATCACTAAAATTGTAATAATAAATTTATCATATAGAGATAGAACAACCGTTTGGGTTGCCATAGATCATAACACTCATTAAGTTTTAATTGCTATTTTTTAAATAAAATTTATTTTATATAGATTCAGGAGAGCTCAAGAAAATCAAAGACAGAGAGAAGAGACTGAAGTTAAGCAAAGAGAGTTAGAAGCCAAAGGCGTTGCCATAGAAAAAGCTTTAAGGGGCGAAGGAACTGAAAATACACGTATGTATTGCTTTTATTGAAATTTTCACTTTGCTTTTGATTCGCATCATATAATCAATAATAATGAAATGAATGAATTGAAAATTTAGCATGCAAAAAATTGACAAGATTTTTACATCATATTTTAATAAGAAAAAAGAGAATCTGAATCATGATTATTTCTATTTTGATCTTTTAGAACTAGATGAGCAACTTTTTGCCTCCTGGATGCAATTGCGAAGGGAGCAGCAAAAATTACATGTATACGATCAGATGTTGTCAATTCAAGCGAGGGAGCTCCAATTGGAGGATCGACATGCCAGATTACAGAACGAATTGCGGGAAAGGTTATCGCAGGACGGTGAGGAAATATATAATGAAAATCATTTTTTGAATTTTGTATTTGTAAGTATTTTTTTCATTGATTTATTATTTTTTCCAGATTCCACTAAAACAACTGAAGATGCAAATCGTGAGAGTCAAATACTGCAAGAAATGTTAGAGATTGTTAAAATGCATGATTCTTTAGTGCTTGAACGAGACAGGCTCAGGTAGTTTTTGTAAATTATTATATATATATATATATATATATATATATATATATATATACTCATACCACTACAAAAAAAAATTTCTAGTCCATTTTTCGATCGTTTTTTAAACAAAAAATAATTTAATTTTATTGTGATTTGTACGAATCGTGTTGGAATTGCAAATACTCATCATGTATCATAATCCTATATAAAATGAAAGTTTTTATTACTTTTTTTTTGTAAAGGAGTACTGATACCCCAACATCAAATGTACAAGAGGTACCGATTGATGAAACCAGATGAGATTGCAAGTTGTATTTGAAGCACTGTATGCAAGAGGTGCTCCAATATCTCCTGAATCTTTTACAACCAATATGAGGTGATTATTTTCTGATGACGGTTGATGGTCAATGAAATAGGTTTTATTCTGGGGCATGACATTTTATTAAAATGATCAAATAATATTATAACATCACATTTATTACAAAAACATCATGTTACCACATACACAGGTTTAAGGTAAATGTTTCCAATTTGCGATATGTTATTGAAATTCTATTTTGTATGCGCTGCTTAAACCCATTTTAAAATATTTTAGTGCTACTTCTGCCTTTAGATATGTAACGTATTTTTATATTATATATTTACCGACTATGAAAGAATATGATAGTCATAATGTTATTATTAAGGTTTTATTATATAATCAAATGAGTCATAATTCTAAACAGTGAGATTATTTGAGTATATTTTTATGTGATTAATCATCTATGCCTAAAATTATTTGTTATAGATTATGTGTATAATTTTAGCTATATTTTGCAAAAATTAGAACAATTTTTATGTTTATTGATTTGATGAGCATTTAGTTTGCGAATGCGTGACATTTATTTTTATACTATTTGATATAGTTACTAATAAATATATAAAAGTGAGTTTAACACTTATGTGATATTTACATAGCATTACTTATTCAGTAATATTACGGCATTGTTTTTATTTTAAACACTGTATTCTATTATGGATACTATGAGCCAATAATTTTAGCTGTAAATTGTGTATTAGTATTTATGAACAAATCAATATTAACCACTATTACTATTTTTTGGCAAATATCGAACAATATTTAATTATATTATTTATAATGAATATTTTGTATAGTATTACAAAGATTGGAATTGCAAAATTACTTATGTATGCTACTGTAATAAAGAGCTTAAATATTATACATTAGATGTTTTAAGTAGTATACATAGTTTGCGGAAATCCTAATTTTTGTTATTGCAGATATTATGAATATTAAACTAAGAGCTCTAAAACAATTACTTGTAGCTATTTTATGTGAAAGGTAATTACAGTTACAATATAGCATGTATATTTGGAACCTGATATAACTACAATATGATTATTTTATGAAGACATCGAAGAACAGTTACCCTAATGGCCAAATCACATCTAATTTACAAAACATTCATAATATATACAAATTGGAATTATTTGGGAAGTTACTTACTGATGTTCTTGAAACAATGCTATATTTTTAAGTGATTTTATTAGAGCATAAGCAGCTGAACTAGCGGTGAGTACACATTGATTGATTAATTTTGTATATCATAAAGTTAGTACTAAATATAAATAATATTTACAGGTGGTAAAAATAATCTAAAGGGAAACGTATTCGTTTAGATATTCTATATTGATTTTTATACAGTAAATAATGTTAGACTTACAAAATATTTTAATATTACTATATATTACTCTATTATTCATTTTCTAAATTATATAAATCTAAATTAACTACAAGATAAATGAAAATAATCATTTTTTTCTTATTTATCACATTCTAATATAATGAATTTTGTTGTTTTTTACATTTTTTTAAATTTATTCTACAATTTTGCTTTTGGCTTTGTAAATCAATTTCATTGTTCGGTTTACATTAACTGAAAGTGCATGAACTATTTCTAAAATATTTTGTTTACGATATTTATTCATTGAATTTTAAATATTGATAGATAACATTTTAAATTTATTCACTTTTAAAAATTTACATATTATTTCTATTTTTGATGCCATATATTTATGTGTGTTGTTCAGGTACTTTATATTTTCATAATTTTGAAATTGTTTGAAATTTAAGTTAAAAATCTGGATTATAATGATTTGGAATCAGAATCTACATTTTATATTATTTAAGATTATTATTTGTTTAATTTTAATTAATTATTATTCTATTTAGGGAAAAGTCACCAAATCTAAATAAGAAAATATATCACCATTGATCTTTCATCTCTACAATGCATATTTTGTTTACTGCACTTGTTCACAGGAATGTTGATCATGGTACATAAGTTATTCAACTTTGTTTAGAAGGTATTTTTAATAATTCTCATATATATATATATATATATATATATATATATATATATATATAAATTAATGTACATGTAATTTATTTTCGATGCTTCAGTACTGATACACTTATTCCATCTGGTACGATATAAAATTGAATTTGTATGAATATATAGACAGCATTTATTTAAATATACCTAGTATTTTAAAATATGATTTGAAATTGCTTTAATATATTATTCAATTGGTGTTGGAATTAAAACCAATGACTTAAATGTAAATCGAATGCCAAACTTAGCGTGATGACACAGAAGACTTCTTTACTTGCCAAAAGTCACAGTAATGCTTATTTTTTTAATATACTTGGACAAAATCTGATAATTAGTACCGAAAATCGAAAATAAATAAAACATTTTGTATGTTGTTTAGTTTCTTGTTTGAAACCACTAACAAATGTAAACCTAGGACTTGTCGATGTGGAATTGATGCACTTATCTTTCTGGCCATTTACTCGTAATATCAGCATTCTTCTGCAAGCAGTTATAATGAATTTATAATGGTAAATAATTTAGTGATTATTATTGAATTAAGTGATTCATTGAATTATTAATTTAATGGATACAATTTGAGCTTAACCATTCCCTATAATTTTTCACCTATTTATTATGTAACAGCGATTGACTTTAATTACAACTTACTCATTTTTTTGTGTAGATATTATAGTTCTATTCAGATTTACACAGATTTGTCTTCGTCTGGTGATGATAAGAAATTTGTGGACACTACATGTTGATGGGCACGGTTATGCCGATTCGAATGTTCGAAGAAATATATTGTAGACATAGCTGCTAAACTGAAAACGAGGAATAAACTGGTTAGTAATAAAATAATAATAAATATTTATTTAGTTTTACGATTATCAATCAGAACTTATTATTATGAGTTATCTTAGCCGTTATGAGGTAATTTATAACACTTTTCTGTTTTCTTTTTTGTTTTGCCTGTAAAATCCTATCACTACTGCTTGATATTTAATAAGTTTTTCTTTGAAACTATTAATGTTTTCTATAGGCTATTTATAGTTATTTGTATTACTATTTACTAGTTATTTATATTTACTAGTTACTTACCACGAGGCTAAGATGAATATGAGGACAACAATTATAATTTGAATCAGTTGACTTGATAGAAATTTGCCATTTTTGGATTTGGTTCGTAAATACTTTTTATGCTTTTTAACATTATCATGTTTACTGCGACATGATGAACATCGCCGTAATCTAGTTGTCGAAACTGCAAAATTATCAAAATTTTATTTCAGTATTTTAAAATTAAATATTTTTATTATGAATTTAATGTTTACTTGTTAACGTGTTAAACTTCTGGTTAATTTTCTCAAGTTCACTAATACGTGCCTCCAGATTTTCGGTCATTTTGCACAACTCTTTGACTGCTCCAATATTCTCCATGTATAAACGGTCCTTATAAAATTATTGGGAATTATAAATACATATATTATTTAATAGATATTGCAGATGAGTTACTAATAAAATATTGAATTTTGTACCTTATTAACAACTAGAAATTTATCAATTACATGTCCATTTGGAAGTACGATGTTACCGGCTTGTGCAACGGCTTCGGGAATCACTTGTTGAACCTAGAATAAATATTATATATAATATATATATATATATATATATATATATATATATATATACTTATTATTGATTTACGTTACTATTTTTACTGATTACTATCAATTTACGTTTAGTATTAAGATTCTCTATAAAACTTAGGTATTTGGTAATATTAAACAGTACTAATAGTAAGTTGTACATAAAAATTAATTTAATATTTTGAATTAGGACTAGTATTTAAAATCATAGATTTTGGTGACAAATATTTTGCGAAACAAAATTAATATAACAAATAATAATTACCTCTTGTGCAATAACTCCCGTATCATTCTCTACCATTATTCCTGAATAGTTGACGAATTCAGGATGATAACTATAACTGAATAAGGAGTATTTATTATATTAAGATGATCTTTGAGAGAATACAAACAAGTAAAAATAACAAAAGAATTATATCAATACCTTACTACTCGTAATTGCTTCACATTTTCCAGTTGCTGCCTCGTATCAAGTTCTTGAATATTTTCTTTAGCTCGAGCATCACTGGGCTGGACAACATGCCCACTTACTTTTATGTTACCTAAATTAAAAAAGATTTTATTAAGCTGTATTCTCTAAAAAACTAAGCTATAGAACAATAATTATTTAATTATTAATTAATTGGTTACTACCGTGGACAACTAAAGTTTCGTCTGGTTTATCCATATTGATTCCGACTTTCCCAGCGTGGAATATAGAATCCTGAAAAGGTTGAAATATTTTTATAACATTGATTTTGTGCCCATGTTAACTTTTATGAATTAACAGATTTCAAAATATTAGGAAAGAAGCTAATTTAAGAATAATAAAAAATTATGTAAAGTTTGGCTCAAATTTTCTTAAATAAAGTTTGATTTATAAATGGAAAAATATGATATTTACCACAAAGTGTCAAATTATTTTGAGATTAGTTTAAATTATTCAATTTCTATTAAATTTTGCATAATTTTCTTACTGGAACTTGTCCTCTTTGCCAGCACAATTCCACGTCACTCTCAAACTGACCAGGATTAGACGCTCTCACAATTATCCGTTCCGAGGCGTGTGCGACTACCGGATAACCATCCTGATCGCCTGCACATTCCGAGCCACCTGCACCAGTTCCGTTTCCAGAAGTTGTGTGCGCGTGCAAGGCTACTACCAGCCTGAAGTACCTCTGATCAGGATTAGGCCTCCCTTTTTTGCGCATATTGTTGGCAGTGGTTTCCGCGAAATGCAGACGGGCGACCGTTGCCTTGGAGGTCTCGCCCGCCGAGAGCGATAAGCTGCGGGAAAACCTTCGGCGCTTTACTCTTCACGTTTTAGATTGATCTCGTAATACAATTATTTAAATGATATTTAAATGAAGATGAACGTGATATTGTTCTAGTGTAAAAATGCTTTAAAATATTTTTTTTAATTTGTTTCGTTTTGAAGAACTATTTAGGGAGTGTCCCTGAATCACATATGATTTTTAGGGGGAGTGGACCCAGTAAACATCATGTAATTTGACCGGCGGGTGCAACCTAAAATCCACAAGCTTGCTTTCAGCGATGTGACATGCATGTGGAATCTATGTCGATTTCAGATTGCTACCGCCGCTCGGTGCCCCCTGGTATTTACTGGGGAGGATTGACTAAAAATCACAAAATATCAAGTGGGGAGGGAGGGGTATAGTAAGATGTCAGGTGTATTTTTTTCCTGAATTTAAAAAAAA